GTGTGTGTGTGTGTGTGTGTGTGTGTGTGTGTGTGTGTGTGTGTGTGGAGGGCTCTCATAATATTGACTCACAGCTGTCATTGTGTTTTTCCCTCTTACTCTTGCCGCTCCAAGGTGGAGCTCTTTTTTTTTCGTGGCAGAAACACAAAATGGCTTACTTCTCTGGCAGATGGCAGATGATAACACAATGAATAATAAGTTGTTTATTGAGTTATTTGGCTCAGCGGCGAGCCGAGCGGGCCTTTGCCATAATTGTCCCCGTCACCGAGGGGGGGTAGAAGCTCACGGTTCCTCTCATGGAAAGGCGTCGTTCTTGTGTTACGCAACATCAGAATTAGGGAGGGTGTCGTGGGATCGGTAGTTTCTTAGATGAGGTGCCAAATAGGACGGAGAGAGATTCTTCTTTACTTAAAAGACTGTCAACACTAGGAGTAAACATCACACTGAAACGGGAGGCATTTGTTTCTTCGGTGCTTGTTAGGTTGTGAAACACATGACTGTTTCACGTCGTGAGCGGTTAGATTAACGGCAGAAATGATCCTTTTTTAGCAAACAATCAAATGATACAGCTTTGAAAATCGGCTTTCTTCGGTATCTCCGTGTCAGCGCTGAGCGCCACATCTGTCGGGAGGAGCACCTCATCACAGCCCCAATTAAAGATGAATATCCATCCCGCTTCAGGGTCTAATGAGTCTTTTCATTTCAGCTGCACTAATCGATATTTGTACACGAACAATGGATCGAAGGAGCGTGTGAAATGTGAAAGCAGTGTCTTGTTTTACGGCCCACAGCTGTATTGTTTTGGTTCAGTCCTTCGGCTCTCATCAGCCCAGTAAATAAAGGTGCTACCTGCTCTTCATCAACAGACTGCAACATATACTGTATATATATGTATATACTGTATACTGTATATATGTAGCGTTGTGTACATTCTCTCATCTTTATTTAAGTTTTGATGAGCATCTTTCTGTTTCATCTCTGATTTCTCGCAGTGATCTTTATGCTCATGTGGAAGTTCGTGGAGAAGATGAGGTGTTTCAGGAAACGCTCCATGTTCCCCTTCCTCGGCTTCCTCATCGCCTTCCTCCTCTTCTTCAACCTTTACATGGACGATGGATTTGTGCTGGTAAGATGTCTCCCCTTCCACAGGTTTATACTGATGAGTTTAATGTACCAGTTCTGCTGTTACCAGTGGTGGAATGTAACTAAATACATGTATGCAAGTACTGCTCTTAAGTACACATTTTAGGTACTTGTACTTTAGTTATTTTCTCCATTATGCCACTTTATACTTCTATATTTCAGGGGGAATATTGTACTTTTTTCTTCACTATATTTATTTGACAGCTTTAGTTACTTTACAAATTCAGGTTTCTGCACACAAAACATGAAAAGTGGAAATGAAAATGATTAAAAGTCATTTAATCAATTGAGAGAAAATGAATTGTCATTAGTCATCTGAATACTTCCTCCACCACCGGCCTTGATTCAGCGTGTGCTTGTCATTTGTTATTCTTAGGAAGCTGAAAAGAGGCAGCTGGGAGAGACGCTGATGCATCCTTCAACCTCTGAGCGATACGTCCACACGTTCACAGATCTGTCCAATTTCTCCGGGACTATTAACGTGACGTATCGCTACCTCGCGGGAATTCCTTTGCCGCGAAAAAGTATGTATTTCCACCAAGGCGACGCTGCCGTGATGTCGGTTTTTGTTGCATAATGAAGTGACTCAGATGGTTTCTGTTCACAGAGTATCTCACCATTGGTTTGTCTTCTGTCAAGAGGAAAAAGGGGAACTACCTCCTGGAGACGATCAAGTCCATCTTTGATCAGTCCAGTTACGAGGAGCTCAAAGAGATCGTGGTCGTGGTCCACCTGGCAGACTTTGACCTGGCCTGGTGTGAGAACCTGGTGCAGGAAATCACCAGGAAGTTTGCCCACCACATCATAGCCGGACGCCTCCTGGTGATCCAGGCCCCAGAGGAGTACTATCCGTCTCTGGACGGGCTGAAAAGGAACTATAACGACCCGGAGGACCGGGTCCGTTTCCGCTCCAAGCAGAACGTGGACTACGCTTTCCTCCTCAACTTCTGCACAAACCTCTCTCACTTCTACATGATGCTAGAGGACGACGTGCGCTGCTCCAGGAACTTCCTGACGGCGCTGAAGAAGGTGATCACCTCCAGGGAAGGTTCCTACTGGGTGATGCTGGAGTTCTCCAAGCTGGGCTACATCGGGAAGCTGTACCACTCCAGGGACCTGCCACGTCTGGCTCATTTCCTCCTCATGTTCTACCAGGAAATGCCCTGCGACTGGCTCCTCATCCACTTCAGGGGTCTGCTGGCCCAGAAGGACGTGATCCGCTTCAAGCCCTCGCTGTTCCAGCACATGGGCTACTACTCCTCTTACAAAGGAGCCGAGAACAAGCTGAAGGACGACGACTTCGAGGAAGACTCCATAGACATTCCTGACAACCCTCCCGCCAGCATGTACACAAACATCAACGTCTTTGAAAACTACGACGCCACCAAGGCGTACAGCACCGTCGATGAGTATTTCTGGGGGAAGCCTCCGTGCACGGGAGACTTCTTTCTCATCATCTTCAACAAATCGACGAAAATCAGCAGAATTAAAATTGTGACGGGCACGGAGGACAGACAGAACGACGTCCTTCACCACGGGGCTCTGGAGGTGGGACAGAAGGCCGTGGACACTAAACAGGGAAGACAGTGCGCCTCCTACATCACGTTAGGGGAGTTTAAAGGCGGCGGCATCGAGGTCGACAGCGTGGACCACAAGATCGCCTTCGACATCGAGTGTGTGCGAGTCGTCGTCACCGCCGGCCAGAAAGAATGGCTCATCATCAGAACTATCAGTTTATGGACCACGCAGCCCGTGAGCCAGTTTAAGAAGTAACAGAGCGGGTTTTTATGTCGCCCGTCTGTCTATACAGTGTTATTTTTGGACGCTAGTTCATTCTGGACTACTTCTGGGAAGTTTGTGTTCATGGGATTCAAAGCAATCCATATTTTCTTGGGTTGTTTTCAATGTGAATGTGTATTAAAATGACAGATTCTGTACAGTATGGAGCCTTTATACCGTTGTTCTTTTTCCTAAATCTCTGTATAAAATTGTTCCTACATGACTGCTTCCTTGTCTTTTGTTTGTTTGTCATAGCACCTTAAAAGGACATTGCGTCTGTTTTCTTACATTTTTATAACCAGGTTACAATGACTTTCTTTTTAGGAAGTTATGCCAAAGAAAGAGAGTGAGGATGTGTTCAGTGCTGCACTGTTTCCTACTTCTAAAACTAAACACAATCTAAAAGAGATATGAAATGGAGAAAAAAACCTGAGGTTTAAACGGCTCATTAGACTTTCTTTAATTCTGTCAGCTCAGCTGACAGAATTACTTCTGTCAGGTGGACCACGACCACGATCTCTTTGAGCTCCTCGTAACTGGACTGATCAAAGATGGACTTGATCGTCTCCAGGAGGTAGTTCCCCTTTTTCCTCTTGACAGAAGACAAACCAATGGTGAGTGTTACATCACCAAACAGCTGATCCTTCTGACGTCATCAATGACTTCACATCATTTGTTAAAATAATTATATTCTGTATTGTATACAGAATTAGTCTGACCACTTTTATAAGAAGGTATCTCTTTAGTTTGTTTGTCCTTTGCTTCCATCTGTTGGTAGAATAAACACATTATTATTAATCAGCAACCGAACCAGAAAAACTAACAATTACTCTGCAAATGTAATAAAATGTCTCAAATCTTGGTTTGAAAGTTTAAAAACAAAACCTCATAAAAACTGTTACAAATTAAATAAAAATAGAATCACACTATTTCAATATTAATAATCTCATCCTCTTTATATCTGTCCCGATGTGATCTGTTCTGCTCCCCTGCCTCCCGAATCAAATGCATCTTCTCTCGTCCTATTTCTCTTCATATCCTCTTGTTGTTTCACCACCTGCTGCCTCCTTCACCTCCTCCACCTCCTGCAGCCACAAATCATCTGAGTCAATCGCCATCAGTTTACCCCCTATCAGTTAAAAAAAAAAAGAAAAGATAGTCAAGCATTTTATCTCCAGTCAGACAGGATTAAACAAACATCAAACATTTGATTTGTGTTCTTATTCTTCTTATATAATGTGAATCTATTTTAAACACTTAGTACGCTGTGATGGTGTTTTTTATCTCAGAGATTAAGCAACAGAGCAGAGATTATTAAAGAGAGCGTACTAGAAATGTGGAGGATAAGTGTGGAAACGTCTGGAGTGGAATGGGGACCTGACATTCCTGACTTTGAGAGAAGTGAGAACATGGCCAGTGTGTGCAGGAGAAATGTCTTTGATGGACACAGCTGCTTGTAAACTGCTGGATGAATCTGAGGGGAGACGGAGATGGTCATCCAACAAAAGAGAGTACTGAAAGTCAGCTGGGAAACACTAATTAACTTTTAGCTGGACAGGAGACGTGGCAGCAAGAGACTTGAGTGCATGAAAAGGAGTTTTGTCCAACTGCAATGTGGCCTATTACACCTGTGTGGCTTCTAGAAACGTTGGTGGTCGGTTTGAAACTACTGAAACAATTAAAAGTTCAGTTGGTGAGTGAGTTTTATGGGCACGAGGAATTCATAGTAAGATGGATTAATAGAAAAGAGGAGACGGTCATGACCGAGTTTAATAAATAGGACAGTAATCTGAACATCATAGCGAAGCATCCAACCAGTGTTTGTGTATCAGGTACCAGACACTGTATTTGCTTGTTAGTTGCTGGAAATGTGTTTCAGAGAGAAAGGACATGACGGGAGACATTAGAAAGAGTTGAGCTAAGAGGAGCAAGAGTAAAGTCAAAGTGGACAAGATAGAAGATGATTAGTCAGAACACCAAACAACAAACTGATGAGATTTTAAAAAACGGCCATGCTGGACGATGTAGGAGTTAGTTAACTCCAGGAGATGGCAGTATTGCAACATCAAGGATGCAAACTGCCGTTAAACCCCAAAGAAAAACAACAAGAAGAAGACGCTTTACTGCGACGTCATCAAACGGCGACCGTGTTGTGTCAACACAAACCGAAGCTAACAGCGAAGAGTGAAGTTTGGACCTCCACTCCTCTCGCCTTCAACGTTGTCAAGTGTTTGGTAAGAAAATAAGCTTCTTTTTCCCCTCCTGATGTCAGAACAGAGGATCATATTTTTAATTTATCATCTTTCATGGCTTTATTTACGTTAAAAATGATGCTAGTTGTCGTTAGCAAACTGCTGTTGAGAAGTATTAACCGACTAAGATTAGCAAATCGTGTTTGAACTGAGGTTGGTGGATTATATCTAAAATGAAATGTGTTTTTAACTTTAAGAATTAGTCTACCATTCACCACAGTGACATGAACAATATTTAACGTTTGTTCAGTTAGCTTAACAGCTAACGTTACTGGTCAGTAGGACGTCATTATGCTAATTTAGCTAATACAGGTGAGATCCTGCAACTACGTTATTGTGGATTTGGTTGTTTATCTGAGTTCTTAATGACTAAGTTGAGATGTTGTCAACTGTTAATTAGATGTGTTGAGTTAGTGTTAACGTTACTCTAATGAGCTCATTAGACAGGATGTGTTTGTTATTGATTGAATCAAAGGGTTGCTCATTAGTTAATGCCTGACTAGCTGGCTTAGTGCTGAAACTATTAGTCGATGAATTGATTAGTTGATCACAGAATAAAGAAGATTGGCAACTATTTTGACCATTCTTTACTCGTGTCAGTCATTTGTCAGCAGATGTAGTGAAACATTTAGGAAACATTTAGAAATATCTCTGATTCCAGCCTCTCAAGTGAGAAGATGGCCTGATTTTCTTTCTCATGTATTATTGTAATCTAGATGTTTTTGGGTATCTGGCATAAAAGAGGACATTTTAAGATGTTGGGTTTGGCTCGTTGAAGTTGTTATTGCTGTTTTATGATTTTTTTTATAGGCTAAGTGATTCTGGATTCATTGAAAACAACATGGACTTTGAAAACTAGTAGGTTCAGTTTAAGTGAATACACAGCTAGTGTGGCTGTATACCCATAAGTATGTGGACACTCACAGAAATGTCCTTTTGGTCTGGGGCTGGTTGTCAAAGGTTGAGTTAGGCCCCTTAGCTCCAAATCTTAATGCTCTACAATGTCAAAACAAGTCAATCTTTCCTTATACTTATATATCACAATATCACAAATCTGCCTCAAGGGGCTTTACAATCTGTACGCCATACGACACCCGCTGTCCTAAGACCCTCGTCCTTTAATCACAACATTGGCTCCTACTGTCCACATGTCAAAGTCCTTCACACTGAACCCTCATGTGATAAACTGGAACAAAGACTTGGCGCCAAGTCTTATCACCCAACATTGCTGTTTTCATCTCATTAGTGCTTAACTGTTAATTTGCCAACAGGCTCTGCAGAACTCGATGAGAAGCAGCTTTCTGCCAGTGCTGTTTCATACGTGCTGCTGCTGCTGCCAGGATGGGCCAGCAGCTCTCAGGTCAGTCGGTGATGACCCGTCTGCCTGAGAAGCTGGTGAAACACGCCGGACTGGTGCGTGACAGCGGCTACCTGACCTACGAGGAGTTTCTGGCCAGGGTGTCCGAACTCAACGACGTGTAAGTCGCAGTCTGTCCCGGACGTTGATGTTCGATTGTGCAAACATACAGCGGGTTTCCAGTCGCTTTAATGTTGTGGCGGGACCGTGGAATGGAGAGTTCCCAGCAGAGCATGTTTAGCGAGTGAGCAGTACCTAAACTGCAGAGTGCACACAATAAACAACACACAGCAGTTTTGGCCAGAAACACAATTTAAATTTAGGGATAAATGTAGCAATGTTTCCGAACATTGGGCATAACTTTGTGTGTGTTTGCATGTGTGTGTTTGCAGAATGGTTTCTTGAGTTTAACATACCCTCTTTCCTTCTACTCTGCTGGATCACTCTCAGAACGGCCAAGCTTGCTACTGGACAGCAGAAGCACCTGCTGTTTGAGGTGCAGCCAGGATCCGATGCCACGGCCTTGTGGAAGGTGGCTGTGAGGGTCCTCTGCACCAAGGTGAGACCTAACAACCTGTCCACACACATCACAAGCCAACAAGAGCATCTGTGCACACCTTTAATCTTGTGTAGGAGAGAAGAGGACAGCTGCAGGTGTGGTTAAGGATATTATTGGGTTCACGTGTGTCTCCTTGTTGTGGTTATCCTTCTAACCAGAGTCTTCAGGGCATCAAACGTTAAGCAGCCTTATCTAATACTTTCACTCTGTATCCGAGACTTGTGAATCAGTGTTTTTCATCGTGGAGCACAAGGAGGGGTTTGAGGTTATTGCACGCAGAAATATTACATGTTTCCCCCAATATTCCAGCTGTGCTCATGTACTGTGGTTGAGTTCTTTAATTACATTTAGAGGGAAAACACTGTTGAGTTTGTGCATCACTAGAGTGATAATGCACTCATGTGATCGCCTTTGTCTCACCCTAGATCAACAAAGAGAGCGGTACGATGGAAGCGTCGCGCATCATGAACCTGTACCAGTTCATCCAGCTGTACCGTGACATCACCAGCCAGGCCGCCGAGGTGCTGTCTGCAGAGGGTGCCACCGAAGGCCCGTCGGCCCAGCTGTCCTCCACCGACTCCTGCCAGGCCAGCATGTGGATGGGCAGGTAGGTGCACAGGAAGTGGGCCCACAAACAGTCAAAGAAACCTCCTTTTTTACATTGAAAGTAGAGTTTTTATTGGAAATGAACTGTTTCATTTACGTCCATATTACATATAACATCTACAACTCTCTCTCCTGGTGTTGGGGTTCACACTACTACTCCTAAAAGGGAAAGAGGACGATGTCATGACCACTCTGTTCAACCCCGAACTGAACCTGGACTTATCAGTATTTTTATTGATTAGATGACCGTGTGATTAAAGGCTGCCATATTTCCGCCAGGAGTCGGTGGAGACTAAAAACAGAGCTAAAAGTAGAATTTAATATTTCCTAACGTTCATCAGGTGACCAGAAACACAGCTCCAAATGAATGCTAATGTTGCTCAGACACATTCTCTGTAACAACTTCATAGACGTGATAATATATGAATGTTGTGTTTTAGAAAATAAATTAATTAATGCCATTTTAAAGCTTTTATTTATTTTTACTAACTAGATGTCAGTGCTGCTGGACAACAGAAACATGTTTTTTAAATGTCCCAGGGGAACTGAAATGATGGATTTAAGAAGTTATTTAGCAGCAGAATGACTGTTTATCCCTCTGGATGAATTCCCGTCCATAGTAGGAGCTGGAGGAGGCTGAAGGGGATCAGTTTTGCATTTCCATGCATTTTTATTACATCGAAATATATTTTTCTCAGGCAAATCCTTTTAAAGTAAGCCATTAAGATTCATCCAACATGAGGCATTTCATTCCAAAATAAGATTTTTTTGGGCGGGGGAAAGTAATGCCTTCCTTTTTTTTTTTTTTTTTTTTTTTTTTTTTTAAGATAATGAAAACTTTGTATCTGTTCTCTGTTCGTGTGGCCATTCAGAGTGAAGCAGCTGACGGATGAGGAGGAGTGCTGCATCTGTATGGACGGAAAGGCCGACCTCATTCTGCCCTGTGCACACAGCTTCTGCCAGAAGTGCATTGATAAATGGTGAGATGAAGGATTAAAGCTTGAATTCATTATTGTATTGCTGTGCTAATCATGTAAAGGTGTCTGTATGTAAAACTATCTCCTGTTGTCTGCAGGAGCGGGCGGAGCCGAAACTGTCCCATATGTCGCCTGCAAGTGACCGCTGCCAATGAATCGTGGGTAATGTCTGATTTCCCCACAGAGGACGACATAGCCGGCTACATCCTCAACTTGGCGGATGAGGCGGGTCACCCGCACAGGCCTTAACACACAGCACACTGAGCCAATGAGGTGACAGGAGGAGTCGACTCGCACCAAGTACACACGGACATGTTGCAACACAAAATGTCCCTTTCACCGAGGAGGAGATTTGTCTTAATAAAAGCTAACGACACAGACGAAACCAGCAGGGTTTCCTCCTCCTTTTGTTCCTCGCGACAGGTTTGGAAAATTAAACCTTTGTCTCTTTTAAGTCCTTACAAAAAATATTCCAGGATGCTCTTTGTAACCCACGTATTGTAGATGTGGTGCTTTATGGGAAATGTGTGTGATAATACGTAAAAAATCCTGTATTTGTGGTATGTTATAATAAATTATAATCTATTAAGTTAACACACATCAACCAAAAGTACAGGTCTTACAGTATTTTTTGGGTTTAATCAACATGGGTGAGGAAGACTTTATGATATGAACCCTTTCATGTTGATGTGACAGAAGCTGAGACAAAGGAGGTCGGCCCTCAGAATCACAGAGGGCTGGTGAGTCTGACTCTGATATTCATAGTTGTGAAATTCAAATAAATAGTAAAAAAAATGAGCTTATTCACTTTCTTTTGGATCGTTAGATGAGAAGATTGTTGTGAGAGGCATCGATCGTCTCATCTCGCTCTCCGGCAGAAAGTGAATTTGTTCCCCAAAATGTTCTAACGCACTCGGAGTTTCTGGTCAGACTGTAAAACCAACTTTATTTCCCACCAGTGAAGCTGTTCTGTGGTCTGTGCGACGTAACCCCGCATGTTTATACCCTACATGACACACCTTACGTTACGTGAACCTGTGATGAACGGACGCTCTGATCCCGTTCAGGACATACGACTCATTCTTCTGAGTGTACATAACTAAAGAGTTTGATATGATTTTAAACTACTTTGCTTGCTGTGGTGTCTTTTTCGCTGTCGGAAATAACCACGATTTTGTCACCTATGCTTTTCTCATCTTTTTACTTTGTATATATTTGTATTAAGGTTTATTTTAATGTGATTGCTGTAGAAGTACTGTAGTTTACATAACCCGGTCTCTTGTCATGCATGTGGTTGAAGATAACTGATTTATTGAGATGAGCAGCTTTCCAGTTACAAATGAACTCTTGTATAATTAAAGTTATGTTGAATTTAAGAAGTTTTATTTTGAATAAGTATTTCACATAAATCATCCACAGCACCTTTCAGTTGAGAGACCGCTGGTTGTGGTTTATGAGAACTGAAATATAAGACGTTATTTAAAGTTGTAAAAGTATAGAAAGCTAATTCAGCATTTTGTTGTGTGACATTCAGCGAGTTCATCAGTTTCATATTTAGCTAATTTTAACAGATTCTTCCAAATATGAGACGATGACCTCAGTTCTTCAACACTAACGTAATGAAAGCTGTTTCACTTTGCAGAGTAGATGTTTCCTTAATAGATGTGTGGTTCCTCTTCATTTATAACAGACCATAAACATGTGAACTTTAAGTTGACCAGAAGTAACTTTTGGTTGTCGAAGCTGAAAAATTGCACTTTGTAACCTCACTGTAGCTTTCTCTCTCTCTCTCTCTCTCTCTCTCTCTCTCTCTCTCTCTCTCTCTGTGTTTGTGCTGCAACAACGGAGGATGAGATATGATCTGACATTGTAATCCTTTTACAGCAGTACAACAACAAATATGCAGCAGCAGGAGATGTTCAAAACGTATAAACTAAGTTGTAAGAATGAGATGAACTTCCAGAGTAGATTAAAAACATTTGATCCCACAGATGTACGTTGTGTGTGAATCTGCTGAATGGAAGGTGTATTCAGATTGAATTGATTCATACTGTATTGTATTATCCTTAATAAAGAGATACTCACTTTTTGCACTTTATGACTTTGTTACGTTGGATTGAAAAAAGGATGAATTATCTCTTTAATTTGTTTGCATCTAATTAAAAAAACATGCAAAGAAAATATTGTATTAGATATATTAATTTGTCCTCATTTAATACATCATGTGAGCTCACTCCTGTGAAATATTATTTTACCCCACATCACTGAATAATCACGTTTTTCCATGTTTCCGTTGTAATAATATTTTTGGTATTGATTTAGAAGATATTGGAAATTTATTTTTAATAATTTTCCATTAAAATATTTTTACAAAAATGAAGAAACAGTAAAAGTCCAATATAAAGAGGTATGTTGTATTAATCCAGTGCATTCATATTTTTGGTATTGTATTTTAATCACTGGATCACATTAAAAACTGCCTTTATTTTCCATCAAAAATATTTTTGCCAAATAAACAAATTAAACAAATGAGCGATCAAAAGAGGTGATACATGAGACGAATATATATATATATATATATATATATATATATATATACATATATATATATATATATATTTTTTTTTTTTTTTGATTTATTTATTTATTTATTTTGTTTTTTTTAAATAAATAAATATATTTCATTTTAATTTAAATATATTTATTTATTTTAAATATATATATATATTTTACTACTACAGGTAAGTCAGCATGGAGATATTTGGGGGGGAAACATCAGTATTGTGTCAGTATTTTATTCTTTTATTATCCCGATCGCGAGCATAGACAGGTGAGCTAACCGGTCTCGTGATGTCAACACGGGGCTAGTCTGAGGACGCCGCACGGTCCAACGGTAAGTCCACGTTGTTCCGGTAAGTTTGTACGTTTGTCGAACAAAGATACACAGTGGCGATTATCAAAGACTTTCAGTTTATGATCATTAAAATTGTGAAATAGGTGATTTTTACGTCACCGAGCGCCATGTAGCAGCATCAGGGCTAAGCTAACTTCCGGTTAGCACCTGTGGAAGAGTGACGTCATCGTGTTGGGATAGCTTATTAGCTACTGAGCTAGCTAACGTTCCTGCACAACACGTGTGTGAAAGCTGTTTGCTACAAGGGATACAAGCTAACGCTACACGTTTTTAGTGTTAACAATAAGCCGTATCTACAATATATCAGTTTTGTAATTATATATATATATATATATATATATATATATATATATATCATTATAATAATATATATATATCATATAATATATATTATTTATAATTAATAATATTTATAATTATTACATAATTATAATTATAATAAATAATTGTAATTCAATAGATAGTTAACGTTAACTATAACTTAATTGTAAAGCCCTCTCTTTATACTAATGTATTATTTACATATATCCATATTTAATAGCCTATACACGATTGCATTGCTAGACAACTTCCTATCAGCTTATGTCATTCACATGCATTAAGACAGGAATTAAACAGGGGTCTTAAATGTTAACTGTAACTGAAATGGTCTACACACAATACTGAATTTAAATATTTCTTAGCTGGAGCAGTAATGAGTTTTCTCTCTCTGGGCCGTGAGGGACATATTTATCTTCCACTGTAGAAGTGTCCTTCATACATTAGTTACAGGTGGTTAATGGCCATGAAGTGTATTTGTTTTATGAGTCATTCATTAGTATGAGCAGTGCACTCCAGTTTTTAGACAAACGACTCACCGTCGTAAAGTAACGACATACTTTAGGTGATATTTATTTATTATAGGAGTTTTAATACCAACTAGGATGCAATTTAAAAAAGAGATGATGGTTGTTTTAAGATGCAGGAATAAAGGGCTTGTATTTAAACTAATGACTCTGAATTTGTGGATGGAGTCTAAATGTCTCTTATTATAAGTTGGCAGCAGATGTCTACTCTTAGTCTTTAAGAAGATCCGCTCACTTTCAGTCTCATTCTATATGTAACCTCATGGAGATGCACAAGTGAAAAAAGAAGCTATGCGGCAACATTGTCGACTGTTTTGCAGCCTTTATTTACATATCAAAATCTATAAGAAATGACAATCGTAGAAAAGAAAAATTATTACAAGGTAGTCTTTTTTACAGTTGTGAGTACAACAGGGTTTTGTGCTGCTGATTTCACCACAACGTTCTCACAAAACTAGTTTTAAAGCTCGCTCACACTTGCACTTATCTTTCATTTAATACCTATAGTCCAGATAAAGGTCTTTCTAACGTGCATAAATACAAGTGACAAACAAAACATTCACCAATCACTGCCGACTCTGCGGTTATAAGAACTATTTTTCATTTTATATTCAGCTTCTGAATCACTGTGTTGTTCTAAATCTTTCATATATCCAAATCCACAAGTGCACTTCACACCCGTCAAAAGAAGAAATAAACTTCTTTCCCAATTATTTGAGGGCAAAGGTCACAGATGCAGCATTCAATACGGTCTAACAATCACGTAAGACGACACATTTCTGCACCGACATAAAATAAAACGAAGCCGATTTTTCAAATCTGGGTCAGAAAGTTTAATAAGAATGTGTAAAAAAAAATGGACGTGTCATCTAACATTCGATATATATATTTTTTTATCCCTGTGGATATATCCAGGCACAGTTTGTGCTCGCGTAGGGTAAATCACTCAGTTAGGTTTGTGCCATCCGTCTTCACTGCGTCCACCAGAAAGCTGAGCTCGTTGCACAGTGTCTCGTGGCGGTAGGCCATGCGGATTTGTGCCACGTTCGTCCGCTGAATGTCGTTGCCCTGCGGTCCGTCCTGTCGGTAGTTTGGACCAATGAAGTGTTTCTTCTCCTGCAGGGTGAAAAGGTAAAGAAATAGAAAGATATAGATGGAGAGCAGATATAACGCATACTTGTGACCTCAACATGGGATATTTGGTTGAATTGTGAGCAAGCTTAATAAAGGATTTAATAAAGGAGTATCTTATCTTATCTTATCTTATGTTACAGCGTGACTGAATGATATTCCTCTGTATTAGGACACAGTAGCATTATGAGCTCCAGGACAAGGTTTCATTTAGGATCGTTCCAAAAGCAGTTAAATTTATTACAGTGACGTAGCAGGACCTTTATGGACCTTTGAAGAACTGAGACAGGGATTGTACAAAAGAGGAAGCACTCCTCATTATAGCGCAGGTGGGGCTAATATAATGTAATGTTTGACCAATAATTTGCTCATTAGGGGAACGTTTTTGAGAGAGCCCAACTGTAAAATTTGAATAGGCCAATATTAGCTTCTCAAAGATATATCTATATGGACAAAGGGAAGAAACCGTAGTGATGTCAGAAATATCTTTGAGGCAGTTTAGAAACAGTGTCATCATTGTTTGTGCACCAGAGAGCACTGACAAGTTTATTTTAAACTGTAGAATGTCTCTCAGCTGTTTAAAGTCTCATATGTATTGGAACCGTCTTTGCTCGCTCACTGAGGGACATAGAGTTCAGAAGAATCCCTTTGTTAAACAGCCAAAAGGCTCAAATTCTTCAAGCAACGTGAGATTTAAAACTTAGGTCAATCCCCCAATTTGAACCTTATTTTGTTAAGGATTGGACTATTTTATTGGCAGCCTGCAAAGTTTGATGAAGCTCAGGCTGTAGACTGTGATGGAAGTAAGCAGGAGGGTGATGGAGAAATACATAGTAAAGTCCTAAAAGCCAGGAATGAAACTGATCGAGATCGACTTTACCTGATGTGAGAGTCCGCTCTGCACCACACTGTTTCTGGCTATTTCGCATAAGTCACAGGTGCTCAGCTTCCACAGCTGGGCTGCGATGGCGTACTCCTCCATCAGGGCCTCCTGAAAGGGTTAAAAGGAACATTTTATTCATACTCATTTTGGCTTATTCCTATGAGAGTAATTTGATTATGTGTGTCCTACTAGTACAGCTAATATGGTTCGTCGTTGGACAGAAAAATGATGTCAATTATTTTGATTATTGATTTTTTGTTTGTCGTTTATTCATTTAATTTTATTTAACAAGAATACTGAAACGGTTTCTTCAGTGTCTGAGGTTCCAGCTGCTCAAGTGAGAGGATTTGCTGCTTCTCTTTGTCATAGTAAACTAAATATCTTTGGGTTTTGGACTTTTGGTCAGTCTGTGAAGTTTTGATTGGCAAAAAAAACGATAAACAGATGCATCGAAGAAAGAATCGGTACAATTATTGATGAAAAATACCAGTTAGTTGCAGCTCTTCAAACTACGTATTAGTTTAAGTTTCATTAAGTGAAGTCCCGGGGTTCCTGCACCACACACAGTATTGTACATTATACTGATGCTGATAATAGTGTCACCAAGACAGTCCGCCGTAAAGTGATCCTGACTGTGAGGAACTTAAATAGTCATGTGATCCCTTCTGGTCCTGGTGGTTCAGACCTTGGTGTAGTGGAACTGCATGGGATCGTCAGTGGACAGCGACACACACAGGCCTTTCTGGAGGAACTCTCGTAGTGGGTTCTTGGAGTACTGCAAGAACAGGCTGTTGTTGCTCAGTGGGGACATGGCTATCGGGACCTGGGCCAGGTAGTACAGGTACTGCAACACTGGACTCTGTGGGGGGTAGACGGCAAAGCAATGTGAGTAATACTACCGGAGTTACTCCAGGAACTCTTGTGCTACATTTTTAGGGTTTCTGTAGCAGCAAATTGTTTGACTTTGAGTATCAAACCGTAGCATGGATTCAGGACTGCACCTTCTTGAGGTTGAGTCCGTGGGAGATGTTGTCAGACGTGAGGAAGGCAGAGACCAGGTGGGTGATGGAGCCGGCCTCGCCACAGTGGGGACGAAACTGGAAGGTGTTCAGTCCTCGCTCCCTGAGGAGGGACAAATAATGAGCCAAAAACCATCATATTTCTGGTGTTTACATCCTGGCTTTATTACGGATGCAAAATACCTTCAGATCAGACTGGAAACTATGAATTTTTACTAAGGAATCAGTGTGAACATGGCAAGTAACACGAGGTGTTAATTGCATTGGCCTTCGATGTCATAAAACGACTCAGGAATCTTTGCACAGTCATGCAGGACGTACTTGCGCAGGTTGTTGAGCACCATGATGTTGGCGTACATGTAGAACAGGTAGTAGGTGTAGGGAGGGTTGTCGTCGGTGGTCCACGCCTCAGGCTTTGGGCTTTTGTAAGAGAACATGTGGTCACTGTGTTTGGACTCGTCATCTACGCTGTCAAATCCTGTCACCTAGAGGACAACGACGACGATGTCAGCGGCACATTTGTGAAAGAAAAACTACACAATCATGCATGTTTGTTCATCAGCACCGCTCAAACGCTGGTAAAGTATGCAAGCGGCTTGTAGATTTGCTTCACTCACCAGCCAAAGAAAACAATGGCAATCTCTAATGAGTTGCTGGTAAAGTTTGTTCAGTCTGTTTCCAAAGAAGTGTCACTAAAAATCAGAGAATACTCTGGGCAAAACAAACAGATATTGGCTGCTACAGTAATTCACTTTAAAAGGTTTCTTGTCACAGATTCCACCGATCACTGGCGTACTTACGTATTTCAAGAACACATGAGTTGCTTTGTGCTTCTGGGGATTCACTGTTGCCTCAAAGAGGGGGAGGAAAATGTTCTGCAGCATCTTGGCATAGTTTGGTACTAATTTCTTTGACTTGAAAATGTCACTGCAAGACAAAAGGAATCAAATGAACTCCTCTTCCCTTTGAAAAAACAGATTTTTAGCATTTGTTTGCTTATTCAGAACAATTAAACTCTGACATTAAGAATTATCTTCTCAGGATTTCTTCAGCCTGATGTTGCCACACACATAAAGGAATGATTCAAATCTCTTCCACACAGTGAGGGATGCATCGTTTTAATGGTATCGGATTGGTACTCCGTATCGGCCGATATAGCCCAGGTATAAATACTGGAACTGAAAAAAGTCATGTTGGTGCGTCCCTAATGGTCATCCTAAATAAACTACCTGAATTTCATCAGTCATTATTTAAAGGAGGAATTGTGAAGATGAGGAACCTTTCATATGGCTTATTGTCACATTTAAATGGACGCAGACCACTTTGCGTTAAAAGAAGCATGTATTATTATTTTACTGTCAGCACTCACTAGATCCTGGGAACTTGGATCATCCACCTCATGTTGGGTGAGTGGACCTTATGCTGGATGAACCAGGTTGCGAGGCTCTCCCACTCGCTGGCAGAGCGGCCGTAAATGGAGAGACGGGGCTCGGCGTGCTGGTACTTGCTGTCCTCCAGCTCTTTGGCCACTTCCTGAAACAAGACGCCAAACCACAGGACGCTGGTGATGTTTCTCAATGAAGCAGAAGCGACTGTTTGTTAATTCTTTACCCAACAGATAACAAGTTGATTTCTAAATACCCATAGAACAAGGGTACTTTAAGATACTTCATGTACTCTAGTATCAGTTGTCCTCCAGCAGTGGGTGCAAGGCCTTTACAACCAAAGCAATTATCACCGATGGTTCAAGTCTTTGGAATACAATTACACACAAAATACACTGAATATAAACCACATTTACTCAAGGATACATATATACTTTAAGGAAGAGAAAATAATTTATACTTTAAATAAAAGGCAAATAAAGGCAAAGGCCTAAACACCGTTGCTGTGAAAGATGGTCTATTATTATTATTATTATTATTATTATCAGTTTTATAATGCACCCATGCACTTTTGATTATTCTAATACCTTGAGGAATTAGTTAAATAGTTAAACAGCAATTGAATTAGGTTGAACTTCAAGCAGTTTTATTGTTTATTTTTTTTAATACTGTTTTTAAAGTAAGTATTGTGTTTATTAGGCCTTTGTCAGTGAGCCGGCATGCACAAGACCCTGAAACTGAACCAGCTAAATGGAACTCAGCCATTATTAATTTCATTATTTACTCGTGAGCTTTTCCCACTCATGTAGAAATGTCTTCAGTTACTCTTTTATAGACTACTTCTTCGATATCTTGCTGACCCTCGTTATCATGGAGTTTGTTGACTTTTCATAATTCCAGTTTAGCTTCATCTAACTTCAACCTGAGCAGAAATCTAATTTAAATGCATGAAAACACAGTTTTTAGGACCTCGAAGTGATATTAGTACTTAAAGTCATACTACACCTTGATGAGACGTGCAAAGTATTCTCCTTTGATGTAGTTGTCTGTCTTCAAGTATATCTCTCGCAGCTCGCTGGCTCCCACTGGGTTGTATTTGGAGTTGAACTTGTCAAAGCGATGAAATGTTTGTCTTCCCTAAGAGAGTGATTCGTGAGAGAGGGGGAATCTTGTGATCACGTTCTCCATCCAACAAAGTGACTGTGTTGATTATTGTCAGATTACACATTAAGAGGACCTCGCATGGAACATAAAAATGATTGCATAACACCACGTGAAACGCATGAACACCCATAATTGCATCCTTGTGTCAGTAAGCACATGTTAGTGAAAACTTCTGTCGCTATTTGAACACGACAAATGAAACCTCGGCATGCACATGGAGTTATTACGTGATTACCTGATTTATTTGCCTCAAGGACGTTTTTTCTTTTTAGATAAATCATCCAAAGCGAGCCGGATGTTTGACTGTATGGCAGAAATGTAGCTGGAATTGATTGAGTTTGACGGTTATGAATTTGTTCTTACAGCGTGCACGTCCAGAGAGTCCACGGTGAGGTCGTAGGGGTCCTTGTTGAGTTTGTGGAAGACTTCCTTCAGCGTGAACTTCTGACCGGCCATCTCCAAGACCACGCGATCGGCCTCTGTCTGGTATGTGGTCTTTATGAATTTCAGCAGATGCTTCTGGTTCATGCAGGCAGCAGCATGTATATGCGTGTCCACCTGTGTTGGACATGAAGCAGACAATGTGCATGACTTCATCTGACAGGTTACAGCGGATCCATAAACTTCGGTTTATTTAGACTCAGGGCATTTTAGTTAGAAATAACTTCTGCTGTAGCGAGACGGCCCTTCAGAGTAAAAGCTCAGATTGAAGCAATGTCGGCCACATGAATCTTATTACATCTTTTTTTAATATAGAGGTTCTATATCGTGATTATTTGCATGCGGAGCTAGATGTAAAAAATACCAACCGACCTTTCTGACGTTGTAGAAGTCTCTGTGTGGAACACATTTCAGCTCTTTTAGCTCGGCCATTTCATTCATCATTTCATGGAGGTAGAATTTAGAGGCCAAGAAGTTCAACCGTCTGTGACAGTAGGTTTTTCTGTGAGGCATGGAGGCAAATGTAAGATATGTCACTAATCTTGTCCTCAGGCATACTGCTCCACAGTTCAGGAAGGCTTTTTTGTGAAATATGAGTTAAAATCTCCATTTAATAGAATATTTAAAAACGTTTGTGCACTCACGTCGGGCCGTCGGCTATCATTGCGAGGACGTGGCTCAGGTCTATGGCAAAGGTCTCGAGGTCGGGGTACGGGAGGTTGTGGGGCCGCTGTTGTTCCAGGGCCTCGGCGTTGTCGTAAACATTAACTATGCCGTCCTTCATCTGCAGCTCGTAGTTCAGGTCCTCAGGAATACCCTCCATGGAGTACGGGTCCTCCCCTTCATGAGGGAAAGGCCAGATGTCTGCAGACGATGGGAGGAAATAAACAAAAAGGGCCAAAGAGTAGCACTTAGTTTACGAATCTGAACTCTAAAAATAATGTTTTTGTAAACTGTTTATCTGAACCCTTTGAGATTATGAACCTTCTATATTTAGCTCCCACGTTCTCTTTGCCCTAATCCAAGTCTGGTGTAGTACAGTACAGTTGATGGACCGGTTACAGTACACCTTGGTCATATCCATATATGTATCAGTGTAGGATAGCTATTCCTATCTGTAGTCATGAATGGTTCGACTGACTTTGGCTCACACTCTCTTCACACTAACACAGAGAAGTCGAAAAAATAGACATTTTGTTCATCATTACCATGCAAAACACAACTAAACGTAAACCGCACAGAACCGCTGACATCAAATTAATGTTGCTCTCGTTGTTCCAACTTGCTGTTCTCTCAAGGACACCCATTGCATTGAATCGACTGTGGGAAATAGCCGGTGTTATATCTGTCTCTTGACTTATCGCTGCTTCTTTCTGCTCTCAGTCTGAGTTGTTTTGTTAACCTTGGATGTGAGAGTGCTGCAGTCGAGGCTCACTGACAGCAACAACAAGATATGTCACCTGTTTCATCACAGGGTTTTACACTTGTCTACAGTGTTGTGTTGGTTGGTTGAGCTGGACAAACGGCTTTATTTGCACAGGTCTAGCATGAAGGTACATAGAGTTGGAGGGTCGCTGTTTGGTTGTTCAGCTGTTTTTTTTTCATGAATGGATCCAAGAGCTCTCAAAATAGCTCCTCCCACATCGCAACTCCATTGAGTGTACAAGAGTTAAGACAGGAGTATTAAACGTTAAAACGTTTATCCAATGAGTAAAAGAGGAGGTTCTCTGATGGCCCTACCTGGCATGATCTCATCCTCCTCCCGCCACTTCTCATTTTCGGCGCTGCGGAGGAACCGGGCGGTGGTCCTGGGGAAGGTGTGGTAGGCCAGTCTGGAGTACTTCTCTCTGATGAACAGAGCCCCAAGCAGACTTTTGGCTGCCTGCTCATAATACTCAACTGTGATCTGGAAACGTCATGAAAAAAGTTATTGCTTCACCAAGAAATGGGTAAAAACATGGCCACACTTTGGCCAAACTTTGAAAAGACCACTGCAACCTCACCGAGTTTCTCTTCTAAGTCTTGTGTCGATCTTTGCGCACAGCCAATTCTTTTAATGAAGATGCTCATTTGTTTAGTGCAGGGAGATGTGATGAGCATGAAGCCACAGTTTCAAGTTCATGTTATGTGTTGACCCTGCTTACCCCTGCACAGTAATCTCCACTGATGGTCACTCTCTGGAAGTCTGGAGAGTCCTCTCTGGGCAAAGCTTCTGGTGTGGTTGAGTCCAGCGTTGGGGAGCGGGCCCAGTTACCATCGCCGGGTATCTGCGACGACACCGTCTGCGAGCGCTTCAACTTGAAACTCTTCTTCCTAGTGACGCACGCGAGAGAGAGGACGGGCATTACTCGCTCACATCTTTTCACCTCACACACACATGGAGATTTGAGATGCAAAAGGGCTGCTGCACATGAAGAGAGGCAGATTTGATCAAACACATTTCCTACTTCTTAGTAGACTCCTGAGACTGCTGCGCTGCCAGCTCCTTCTGCAGCGCCCTCTCCCTGTCCTCCTGCAGGCCGATGGGACAGTCCTCCGGCACGCTGAACAGCGACAGAGCGTCATTGGTGTCCTCCTCTTTCAGGGCCGAGGCGTACACCTTCTCCGCCAGCAGGCGTACCTTCTCATCCGCCTCGTTCATCGACAGTCTTTTGAAGAGCTGCGGCATTTCTGAGGGAGTCAAGAAAGATTTGAGTTTCAGTGAATGTTTTTTGTTTTGCTTAAAATGGCATATCCGACAAAAGTGTTTATTACAATTAATAAAGATGTAAATGATGGAGTGGTTCTGGGCAGAGAGCTGTTGCTTGTGTAGGCCTACAGTGGACGCAGGCTTATGCCAAATGACATCGTGTGGGTGACTGTGGCTACGTGGAGAGCTCCTTCAATCAGAAGATCGGCGGTTCAATCCCCGGCTAGTCGCATGTCGGTGTCCTTGAGCAAGACACTTAACCCCAAAATTGCTGCCGTAGCTGTGCCTGCGGTTGTATGAATGTGGATGGCACATAAGGTGGCACTTAGCCCCTGCCATCAGTGTGTGAATGGGTGAATGATGACAAGTAGTGTGAAAGCGCTTTGAGTGGTTGGAAAAGACTGGAAAAGCGCTTCATGTTTGGTGGGCAAGAAGAAAAACCACAAACTCTGTTTCACTGGTGTTGGAAAAAGATAAAATTACAGAAATGACATGCTTACGGGGCGACCTAATAGCCAAGTTTTTAAAGCGCATGTCAGTCCCCTACTCTCTGTTCACTGCACTGAAGTAGTTACAGTTTGTGAGGGAGAACTAACATCATGTTAGCGGTGGCAGTGAAAACAAATACCAGCAAGATAAACATGAGACCTCCGAATATGAGTTGGAGGTGAGGGGGTGGCAGGGGTGAGGAGATTCACTTGGCATGTTTTGCAATGCCTCATCGTAACTCTCACCAGTAAACATGTCTTGAGTGGCTGCATGCCCTGCCAACGCGTCGGACAAGTTACAGTAAACACAGTTAATCAGGGTCCTGGCTAGACCGGGACTACGGGTCAGCCTCTCTGTGATTACGCAGCACTGGGAAGGATATGCAACACAAACTGAAAACAAAACAACAAACTGAAAACAGCCTGTGTTATTTGTCTGCTGATGCATCGTTGTGTTTATTTCTTTGAATCCAATAGCGTGACATTATCGTGCAGTTTAGGTCTGATCTGCTTTAATGACTAGCGGTGGAAGATGAGGATGTGAACGAGGCAGTGACAGATCATAATCTAAAAAAAACAACTGTGCATGCAGGCTGAAATTCTAGCGTGGTGTTGTTGAACACGTCAGGAGATGCAGTGATTAAACCAAGTGAGAGTAGAAGAGCTGTGAGACAGGACAAGTCAGCTAGCGGCTATAGGCTAATACCTGCAGTGTAAAAGCATACAGAGATGTATGTTTATGTGCAGAGGTGGCTCACACAGATGCTGAAAAGAATCAGCTTTTGTGTTAAAGACTGTCGTCGTCTGATTTTTAAAAGCACTTTCTAAACAAAAGGGGAGTTCATCTGACTGCTTGTGTTAATGGTTAAATAAGTAGCCATGTGCAGTAATATAGAAGATTGTGGATGCAATACATGAAGATGCATCGAGAATGGTTATGTGTTTGAATCGTTGAGGATTCACACCTCTGTGAATCACTGCAAGTGTGGTTGACAACTGTTCCTCGTGCTTTTCATCTTTTTTTGCATTTCGCCATTTTAAGTCAGTCAAACGTATCGTCCTTGTTAGCGTATTTGTAGAAAATTTAAAACAATAAAAAAGTATCCTGATAATTCAGCTTTTCACTGTAAATGGAAAAGGAATGTCTGCCTCTTTGTTGTTAGAAGGGCAGTTATTAGCATGCCATCATTGTTGTCCTCTTGACCCTTTGGTTGGGAAAACAGTCGTGTTTATTTGTATTGACCTGATTCTCTTCCATACCCACAGCACGAGGAGCCAGGCTCTTATTTTGAAACTTGAGACCCTGTGAATTCATATTTTGAGTCGCACAGCAGAGTTGTGTTTTTAAATAAAGCTTTGGCAGCCAACTGAATCCCACTGGTGTGAGATCTATTGTTGCTATTCAACACCCTTCAGTAGTGATTAGTGGACCATCACACCGTTTAACGTTAACCATCACAGTGTGAAATAAAGTTTTACTGACGATCGTTATCCGAAAATATGCGATCAGGACAATCGGTATTAACGCTTTTCTGTTCGCAGATCTAATAATGTTACATTGTAAACAAACTGTTACTATTAATATTGAAGTTGCAGCCAGTGTAGGTCACTGTTCCATCATCAATCGTCCTGTTGGTATGTGAATCAACAAGTGCAAGACAGGAAATGCAGCGCCGTTATATCACGTAGCAAACATCTCTACATGCAACTCTATCTGTCTGAATACTCATCTTGGCGCCGTCACACATGACATTGGCACAATTTTTCAACTTGCATATTTGGGAAGCCGGCATTTCTGACGAGCCTCTCGACTTGTGTACGTTCTCTCTGCCGGAACAGCTGAGCCGCCTCTCGGATGACCTTGACCTACTTCCTTCATTATAGAAACCTGACCCACTAACAGCAGTCGGTCGGGAGGGTCTGTTAACATACGTAACAACATTTCCAAAGATATGCATTTGTGTTTTGGAAAAATAGAAAAATATCATTTAAAAAATGCTTATTAAATTGCTTCAGTAATTATAAATAGTCTGGAGTACTTGCCTACATAAAGTGAAAACTCAAACCACAGACGTTGAGTGACTGAAGGAGCTCTATGTGTCTCTTACCTTCCTTTGTGATGTTGGCCATGTTTGGTTCTCTCGGTCTCTGCCTGGTGAGTCAAGTATTTCAGCTGTCATGCGTCGGCTCCGGTCTCTTCTAAGACTATAAAGCTCTGAGCTGTCTTTGTCTCAGAGACCACTTCTAAATGACTCCTCAGGTCTGGTGCCCGCAGCTCTCTCGGCTCTACGACGCTTCCTCTCCTGGCTTTTCCCTCCTACTGCCTCGGTCAAGCCTTGCTCCTCTGTTTATGTGGTCCGGGTGACACAGTGTGTATTATGCAGCTGCTAGTTGTTGTTGTCTTGAGTGTCGCTCTCTACCTCCTATTTTAGGGTGCTGAAAGCGTCATGGCAACAGGGGCTGCTAATCAAAGCTGGTACGTCTCAACTGGCTGCTAACGTGTGAGCGGCTATCTGTGAGACGCTGGGGCGACGAGGAGGGGGTGGGATATACGACCGCTTAAAGGTGATATAAAAGTCACGGGGAAATACATTTGAAAAATCTTAATTTTCCCCAAATGACAGTTAAGTATAGCTTCATCCACTGACTGTGAATTTAAGGACCATGGAGATTAAATATGGAATGTAAATAGTTTTTATTGAGGTAATTTAAAGACCAAAAGCAAACAGTCCCAGCTATTGTCCATGGTGGAGCTAGCATGTAAGGGTTCACGCTGCTACAGTCAATGTTTTAAACTGCAGAAAGTCATGTAAACAAATGTATTTAACAAGAAATATTACTTCTTTAATGTGGTAACGGTTTAAGAGAAACAGTTAATGCCATGTACAGTAAATGCTTTACTGTGATCTCATGTGGATGGTTCACACTGTAAAGAGATTATCACTCTGAATACAGTGCAGAGGGATGAAAGGTAAAGTCAGTACTCATAACTGTGTATCCTTGTATCCAAAATAACTCAATCCAAGATCTGACTGAAACAAAGTGAAAGCAAAACATGTCTAAAGGAGGAGTGTCCGTCTTCTCACTGAGAAATGGGGGTCGTAAAACTTTTACCCGATGTCCCAAAATGATGCGTTCACAAAGCCATTGGTCCGGGCTTTTTCTTACAGTTCTGTGTTATTATTTGATGAAAACTCTACACGGTCATTGTAGCTCTTCATGTTGCTGAAACGGAAACTGTTTCCTGCTCAGTATTTAGTACTGTGATAATACAATAATGTTAAGTGGGGTGGTTCTGTTTAGTCCTTGTCCAGCACCAACGATGGAGGGACACTCTGATTTAGCAACACTGTCAACAGATGCATGGTGAACGGTGGTATACGTGAGACTATTGGTACTTTATTATTATGAATGTGTAGACGATGTTCATACTACACTGGACTGGACAGGAGTGTCTCTGGGTTCCGTCGGGGTTGAGGGTCTAAAGTTTTTGACATAAAACTATACAATTTCACTATTTCACAATTTTTGTAGCTCTCTTAAAAGCGATGAAGTTGGCAGCAACTCTCAAGGGACAATTGTAGCCCGAGGCGTATAATGGAAGGTAAAACCCTGCAGGAGTATGTTCTCACCTTTCCCTAAGCATGGTGAAGACTGCTGCTTGTGAAGGGGCGTATCCCTTCTCTTCATCTTGATCTGTATTGAGAGAAACAAAGCTTTAATTAGCAGTGGACTAATTCAGAGTTTAGTGGTGTCAGATGTGACTTCTGAGTGAGCTGGGGGAGTTTTCAGAGTCTTCAGAACCAAATTAAAGTAGTAAATAGTTGGTACAATATGTTGACTTGGCATTTCAAGAGTGTGTATGGGGGGTCAAAAGTCCTGCACCTCTTCAGGGTAAACTTCCATTTTGTTAGCTTTTGTTTGTCAATGTATTTTGCCAGAGAGGAGTCCTTTCATCTCTTTAGCTTTAAAGATAAAACATGATATTAGAACCTCATTGGTAAGATACTTATATTTGTTAGCATTAGCCACTACTGCTGCTCCATTGAGGTTTTGATGGTCTGCAAATGGACAAGACTGATGTTCGCTGTAGTTGTTGAATGCTAATAAACATTACTTGTTAGATTTTGGCTACAAATGTATGAGGTTTTCAGTTTTGTATTATATATTTTCATTAATATCACAGTTTCGTCATCATCACATCATTATATTGCCTTGTGCAGTAGTAGATAAACACTGAACTTTGAATATTTACAGAAAAGTGGAGTAGCATGTTCTGGCCTCTCAGAATAAACCATCAATGGAACGAGACATTGTCTCTCTGATGGTGCAGGAACAGACTTTAGATCAGCCTCAAAGAGGTGTCACAGTAACAGTACTCCGCTCCATATTGAGGTCAAGTTTGGCCGGTGCTGATGTTGTGAGAAGATTCACATTGAGAAAAAATGAAACTATAAAACCGGAGCAGAACGCAGCCAAGTGTTGTAAGAATAACACATTGATTCCGTGCAGGTGGAAAAGTGCGAGTGAGAAGTGTTTGGTGTTGCCAAAATACCAACTTAACTGCCACGATTCTGAGTCTTTACACAGCACTTGCCCATGCAACATGTGTTTGCAATGATAGAGCTGCTGGGGGGGGTCAGTGGAGTTAACGGAGATTAAAGTGCAATTCTGGTCTCCACACGACAGCCTTCTCAGTCCACACCAGGAGCAGGAGTTCATTTTCACTGCATCGATTACTCACACAGAAATATCGTCTTTTCATTTAATTTATCCAAATTATTATTAATCCTTTAGTTTGCACATTTCGATTCATAATGGAGCTTTGAATTGATTGAATTATTCCTATGCAATGACAATAACAGCTTTTATTTCACTTGAAATGGGAATTTAAGTCTTGGCCAAATCGGTAAGAAAATAAAAAGATTTAAACTATTTTATTTTAGGACACAAGGTGGACATAAAGGACCAAAACTGCTATCAATGCACCTCTTGTCAATTATATAAATTGTGAATATTTTCAGTCCTCTACACAAAAGACTAAAACAATAACAATTTATGAAGTTAATTTAGAAATGATGACTTTAATATCACTTACTTTTGGTGTCTGACTTGATAAACTTAGACTTTAAAAAAAAAAACTTGAATGTTTGAACCACCTGCAGTATTTACTCATATAGACTCAAAGCCTTTATAGCCCATTTCTAATAAGACCCTGAGGACTGACATACACGCGAAAGTTTGAATGTCTCCTTTTCAGACTTTTAAAGAACCTTTCAAAGATTTAGTTTGAGGGAGTTACTTACAACCCCCTCCATTACTTTAACTTCGAAATGTTGAAAAACTGGAATAACAGAAGAAGAGCTGATAAGGCGATCGGTACATAGCAGGGAGCAGCTGCTTCTTTATTCTATAAAGGCATGATTGTGTTGGTTTTTGTGGCTGTTATTCAGAAAGTGAGTGATAAACAGTTTGGTTTACGACTCTTTTATGAATTCACAGTGACAGGTGTTGGTTGTCTGATCGAGTGTACAACTTTGAGAGAAACCGTGGTCGGCAGTCGGTTGAGAACAGTTTACTTGAGATGCTCTGTTGGTTTTGGAATTTCCTGTTTTTCTTTTTGTTCAGGCAGAGGGCCTAAAGCCAAACATTGCAGCATTAACACTGGAGTCACACCATTGCATCTGTGAAGGCTCTGCAGTAACACTGTACTTACACCAGCTTTGTGTCAAATTGTCCATACATGTATGTAAATGACTAGAATGAGCTGCTACCCCCTTTATGTGGAGAATAGATCTGCATGTTTAAGAGTAGATATTAGTCATTTCTGAAGGTAAACATGAAGGGAAGGGCAACAAAGCATTGACCAGTTTCTGTGAAGACTTCTCCGCCCAGTGAGGCAGACTCGTGCATCCTTCTCAAGTGTACAACTGAACTTTGAAAGGCATGTTGAGGCGTGATGCGTTTCTGGGGGACTAAAAAGGTTCGGTCCTGGATAATGCAATGCACAGTGTTTGCTGCTGGGTGGCATTTTGAACATGCACAGTATAAAGTATGACAAATATAACCAAACATTTATATGGAAACTTAAAATCATAGCTGAGTGTATTTGTGTCTGTTAACAACTGTACTGTATATTTGTATTGATGTGAGTTGAACTGTTCAGCTCAGTAGATGTTCTCACTGAGATAAGGGACATGGCTGTTTTCAGATGCTTCCTGGTTTTTGTGTGTTTAATTGTGACGCACTAAGGATGGATGACTGTGCATTTTTAGAAAGTGTTGAAAGTGTGGTCACAAAAGGAGGCTACTGTTTAAACATGATCATTACCATAGAAAATACATTTTATTTCCCAGGTAATCTACACTTTAGCTTTTAGTTAGAAATGTATTGAATTTGCCATTGATAATGTGTTTTTTAGTTTAATTTGAATTAAACTAAAAACCTCACCTCTAGAACCTCTTGAATTTGAATAAGGCTTAAATGTTGCTCAGTTTACATTTTATTATCCTCTGTTGAATTTACACATCTTAGCCATGCTGTCAATAACTATGAAATGATTTGCCTTGCGGAAAGTAGAAAAGCTGGTTCACCATAAAGGTCAGCCCACCTTCAGTGAGCCTGAGCCGGAGTTGTTGCTAACTTCAGTGCTAACCTCCTTCACTTTAATCAGCAGGTTGCAGGTGGTTGGCGAGCAAGACACAGGAACTTAAGTCTTGAGGAGTTCGAGCATTTATGTAACCACATCACACCCTGCATGCAAAGCACTAATCCCTAGATTACCTTGAAATTTGGTTCAGACATTCACAGTGCCCAGAGGATGACTCATAATATCTTTGGTGATCTCCAGACTTTTCCTGTAGTAGCACCCTGAGGTTTGCATTTGTGGTTTTGAGTATAAATGCCTCAACAACTATTAGCATGCCTTTATATCACCATTTTGAATGTATCCAATAATCTGATTTATGACCCGATGTGATGACCCCCCCCATCATCTTCATCCGTGTTTAGTGCTAAAGCTATCATGCTAAACTAAGATGGTGAATTTATTTAACATTATACCTGCTTAACTTGGCATGTTAGCATTGTCAATGTCAGCATGTTGGCATGCTGACATTGACATTGCCACACCATAAAAGGACTCAACATGACCTCAACTCTACAGTTGCTCGTGGTGCAGGATAAATGATAAGTGCTCATGGACTTGTACATTTTAGCCAATGAGACAACAGAAATTAGTCGACTGGTTGATTCACAAATCAACTGATTGTTGAAACAACATGTTAGCTGAATAACTGTAATCGGTTTGTCAACAGAACTGAATTGAAAGAGTTTCAGTCTGCGGTCTGACTGTGCTCCGCACCTTTTCAGGTAGACTGAGATTATTCTCCCGATTTAGTCATCGTCGGCTGTTTGTATTGCTGAATGGGCTTAAACAAACACAAGCGCATTACACTCAAATGATCAGTCTTTCTCTCTCAGTGCTTCAGTGTCACTATGTTAGGGCTAACTGAGTGATTGTACAAACAATCTAAGGATATTTTCCCAATGTTGCAGTTGAGGAGAGTTCCAACTCTCTAGTATAGATGCTAGTGGCTAAATGTCTGTATTAAACTGTTCAGACATGCAAGGAGGAACGTTGATGTGACATTTTCATTTTTTATATCACGTCTTATCCGGCTTTACAGGGCAAGGAGGCATGGGACAACATGAACATTTCATGTCACTATTATGCTGGACGAAATGAATGCGATTCATAATATTATCCAAATATTCATTAAAATATGCTTAAAACTCTTAAAATGGCACTAAAACATACTGGAGTCACTTTACCTTTCATTTGTTCAGCTGCTTTTGCCAAAGACACACTGTATTCATATATTGTATTCATTCAATGTCACATTACAGCAATGGATGTTGCAGACATACCTTGCGGTGATCTGCACTCTATTGGGTGTGTTTTTATCTACTGGGTGTTTTTTATCGCTATCTCTAGTGCCAAGTGGAGTCAACCACACACGTCTTTGCTTTTAATTGAGGCTGTGACTTTGCCAATTAAAGTTCTTTGGGGAACTTCCCCGTTCACTTGCATTGACTGGCAGTGAACGGGAAGCAATTATATATATATATATATATATATATATATATACGTCAATGTTAATTTCGCGCATATGATTGTTTCATTAAAGGGATGGTTCGGGTGTTTTTAAAGTGAGGTTGTAGCAGCAAAAATGTATTTTACCCTCCTAAAAGAAAGACCGACTTCAACAAAATGAATATCTGTTTAAGCGTACGCTATATTTAGAATATCTTCACACCTTTTCTTGACATCAGAAAGCTGTTTTCGGCATGGAAAGTGAAAATTATCTTCGCTCTCTTCAAAGCCACAGGACTCCTTTGACAAAAGGACTCTCTGTTCAGTTCCATGGCGGTAAAATATTCTAAATATAATGTATGGTCTTTTTGTCCAAGCCGGGGGCGTGCCGACCATCATTTACATTAGGTAATACACCGACGGTGTTATAAAACACCCAAACTATCCCGTTCAGTGAATATATGAGTATACGCATTTGGCTTTAATGCTCATGCGAGGACAGCTACTGTAAATCTGAAGTACTTGTTTCACAATAACTTAACTGTTTCTCTAACTGCTGTGTTGCTGCGTGTAAGATGGCTGCTCATCACAGCTGATAGACGATCACATTCATACCTGCGGGAAATGTATAATCTCAAATCTACCTGACCTGGCTCGTCTTTGCACTGTGTGGGAACAAGAGTTTAATATTACACCTGCAGACACACATGAGCAGAGTGTTTTGTACAAACTCCACAGAGAAAGAGCTGAGGCTGAGAAACATCAAATAAAAAGCTTTCCTGTCACTCTTCCTGAAATTAAACAACTTATTCTATTTCCTCTATTCTTAAACATTCTAGATGCTTGCTGATCTGAAAAAAATTATTAATATAGAACTGAAAATCATCTACCACTTCAGAAATGTGCATATTTACTTTTGAATATTATCCTCCGGGGCAAAAGTACAGCCACGGTATTTCAGTCACCAGATACCACCGTACAAAGAAGCGCAAGTGCTGGAAAGAATGCAAGAGTGCTGGAAAGGATAAGATGTGACTATTGATACAAGGCCTAAAGAAGAGAAGTTAAAAACTCCGGTGCAAAGAATCGTAGTTAATAATAACAGATGTGACAGCGGTGTACTTACTGTTTGAAGGGTCGTGCACAATGCCTGCTCTAGAGACCCTTATTAGGCTTCACGGGACAGAAGACAAGTCTTTTCAGAGCAGCCTCCTCTAGCATGCAGACACACAACCAGACGACTCTCTCGCTGCCGGTCTGGACAAGTGTAACGGGTGCACAGTTTTAAACGCTTTAAAAGTTCCACCACTCGGAATGAGGAAGTGATCTGTATCAGTTGTTTGTCAGTGCAGTAGAGGAAGTGCTGGAGGAAGCTTGTAGTTGGAAACAGGAAACTATTTATAGATCCCACTCATGTCCGTTTATTTAGGCTGTAGGCCAAGGTGCAGTTCATTGTGAAGGCAACATCTTAGATTGCATAAAAACGTGCATAAAGGACCTGTATCGGATACTATTTTTTTACATATAAATAATACGTTTTATCTCAATTTAAGGTCGAGCTAATGATCGGGGTGTCCTCTAACAGCTGAAAGAGAGAAGTACGCGTTGACAATTACAGGAAGTTAAATTCCTTAAAGTTGTGACACAGGTCAGGGCTCGATTCACCCTCACTGGGTCGACTGGTCTGATGTTGAAAGATCCAAAACACCCAATGATGCCGTGTTGCTTTTCTGATGACGAACAACTTGTGATTATTACCTTTGCCACGTCTTCTTTATTGTCTAGTTATCGTACCTTATCAGAACTATGCAGTAGTGTTGAGAAGGTAGACCTCACCTCCGTCTCAATTACCTTTTTAATTCTCATCTTTTTAATTGTAATAGTGCTTCTCATTTAGAGACATGCAGGAGGGGAAAGGGATCACTATTAAAAGAGAATAAAAAGGTGTTTATAATAGCTTTAAGTGTAACACTGAGTGTCAGTGGTACACATTCGTTTGTGGAAAATACAGAATACGGTATCTTGTGTAAACTAGGGCTGATGGATTCAGAGTGGTGGAGTAAAGCTTACGACACCGTCCTCTGGACGGTAGAGGACAATCTTCTGTTAGTGAAGTCCCTCTCATTGCCCCTGGACTGCTGCATCACAATTCATATTCTCTGTACTACTGCCTTAACTTCTGTTAAACTATAGTATTTTACATCACAGTGTTTCTTGTTGCTGTCCAATAAATGCATACAAATATGACCTTTAAATGAAACTGTTATTAGTGTAAGACTTCGTTTCTCTTCCCCCGGAGGCTATATTTACAGTTTTCACAGTAATAGAGCCACTTTAAAATCACAGCAGGGATTTCTCTGGCTTCAGTCCATCAGTCATGATAAGCAGACAACTGGAGGAGAAAAAACTATAATTATGAGAAGAGCCCACCTGATCTTTAAGGCAAATATTGATATTGATGTTTGAGAGTTAAAAGAAGAATAAATTACTAGCGGCACATAAATCATTAACAAATAATTTCGTCATGGTTATCTTTGGTTTTTTAGATACTTAGCAGAAGATTTTGCAGTTAACTACAACAAACCTGTCAGCGCTCTCTGGTGGACAAATAATTTATTGGCGTCAGTTTCTAAAATACTTCAAACCCAGTCTTTGTTTCCTGCTATGTAACGTCTTGTTACGTATCTTTATATCTACTGATTATACGTCGTAATGGCAGATTTATTAGCCGACTTCTAATTATGAGTGGTGGATATCTGGGATTCCTAAGAGTTGAAATATCTCCCACTTGGCAGAAAGAACTAAGAAAGAGTTGAGATGTATTGTATTACATGGACAAACAATAATTGGCAACATATTATTAATTCTCTTTTGAAGAAATGAGAAAGTCATTGATGTAAAGCATTACACTTATATAATCTTGTCGTTCCAATAAGGACCTTTTGATAATTAATCTGTTTGGTAATTCATCTGTTGAAATGCCGTGATTACACAATTCGAGGAGCATGTTGACACAAGACTAATTTAGTTTCAGTACATGTGTTTCTTTGAGTTCGTGCAGCTGATGAATCATGGTGTTATTTTTAGAATGGAATGTACACCATTGAGGATTTGATCGTATTTTACTACACGTACCATCATAACAGGACGAGGCACATGAACTACTTTGCCTCCTGACATTGTCACACGCAAAGCACTTAAGCAGAATATTCGGACATTAGGTCACCACATAACATAGAAGTTGCTTGAAGTTCTGTTCATTGTTGCATTCATTCATTCATTTATTTCAAAAACAAGGACGTTGCATCCAGCTGAAAACCATTACAGTTCCTGCCACATTCCACCACATCAAGACCATAAATCATGTTACCTAACAGCATGTCAAGTCATTTCAGCGGAGTAAACTAGAATTTATGAAGATACAATGCAAAGCTACGGCTTTTAAAAGCAGAATATTTAGCGTAACCACAGGAAGTGCTTTGTTGAAGCTGCGTCGGCCCGCGTGTGTTCCATGTATCCTGCTGTAAAGCTAGATGGCAGCACAGCACTTTTATCATTTATCAGCCCTACTTCAGGCTCTCCATCACTCTCCATGGCATCCAAAGTCCGGCCAAAAACTAGAATACCACTTTGCAGTTGTTCTTAAGCTGCTATGTGAGACTTGCACCCTCCAAACAAAAGTCTTTAAAACATCTCCAGTATGATTAATAAACAATGTTACAAAAACACAACAGATAACTCAATGAAAAGGTACTAAATTCACGTAATTATTTGCACAGTTGAGATACATACTTCATTGAAGTTAAAAATAAAAAAGACATGTTTAATATGTATTTTGGCTGTATAAAAATATAGTTGTATTGTGTGCTTAAATATAAGGTAGCTTTATATTTCCTTGTTATATACAAGCTGGTAATTATATATTTTTGACAGAGTACATATTGTTTGAATTGCACTTCACAAGCAGTTCACGCCATCCAGTTCACTGGTGAAAGGATCCTCCTGCTTGTGGCAGTTTGGGGTCCAGTAATGTCAGTTTCTTGATGGAAAACAAAACAAAAACATCCTCCCCTGCCGCGGCCGCGGTTCCTCTTCAGTTCACGGGTATTTCAGAGAAGATCTGCAGGAATTGTCTTGTATCTCAGCTGCCAAGCTCACATTGGAAGCTGAAGAAGAGACAGACATTCTTGTCAAGTCGCGCAGGTCTGACTTGAGTTCATCCATAAATCACACTCTTAATTCAGACACACTGAAACCTGCGCCTAAGCATGCACAAATCTATAATCGCAATCTCGCTTTCATCCAGAGGGACCTGAGCAAAGTTTCCTGTGAGGTTGCAAACCGTTCGTTTTGCATATCTAGTTGTAAATCTGTGGAATAAAACCTTTTGAGGGGACTTATCTTGATCTGCTGTGAGCAAATAACCCCAACAAGGATTCTCCTTTGCCTCTCCATGCCTGTCTTTAGGCCACTGTGCGTGTGCTATTGTGTCTGCGGACTCGCTGACCAGCTTCATTGCTCCGTCTTTGTCTTCCTGTCCGGAGGGCGAGCTGAGCGGCGTCCAGGAGAGAGCGGCGGCGGCGTCCGTAGCCTTTTGAGCCTATCTTGTTCCCAGGGGCACAAGACTTCAGCTCGTTGATCTGGTGCAGCCGGTGGAGCAGGTCGTGGTACACGCATGTGACAAACTTGCAGCCGGATGATTTGTTCGACGTTGACCTCCTGGATCTGACATGTTGTCCAAAGCTGGAAAAACAAAACAAAAATGTATGCTCTATTTTCAGACTGCTTTCCAGGGTTGTTAAATCTCAACAGTCAACACATGACATGTTGACAGGGTTTAAACTTAAATTTAAATTCATGTAAACGTATGGGTGCAATAGAGGATAAATCATCCACCTTCTTCAGTTATCTTAGACATATCTCTTTTCTCACATTTCATTTTGAATTCCTGTAATGTTAGACTGCATCTGGGGGGGCCTTCAGATACTTAATACATGTAAAATTTCAGCCATCAAATGAGAGCAAATATACCATCAAAATGCAGCTGTTCTTGTTACCTTGGTGGAGGCGAGACACCTTTTGCATCTTCATCCTGCTGCGGTCCAACGGTGACGTCTGAGTGCTGCTCGTTGGCTGTCACTAAGCTGCTGCAGAGGTCTCTTTTCACGCGGCTCTGCAGCCATACTTTAAACCTGCCACGGAGAGCGGAAGAGGTCGTGATTGCACAAACTAACTAATACAGACTCTAAGGTACAGACACAAAATGATAACATCAGTACGACACAGCAGCACACGTCCAAAATATAAGATGATTTGACTCGATGCCAATGTAGCATTTTCCTTTATCACGAACACGTGGAAAAATTGCACGACCGATAAATCTGCCAGGGTGACGTATCGGCCGATGTTTAACTAAACACAGATATATCTGTATCGGCATCTACCTCTACTGGGAAACAAGACATTGCAGAACAGAATGGCAAAATGTTTGAGGTAGTTTGTAGACAACTTCAACGTTTGTCCACTGGGGCACGGCTTATTTTTCAATTGTGAAAACGCCTTTTACGACATATCTTGATCACTATTTTGTCGTAAGCAACTTGGGGATCCTTATCAAACATGGTTTCTATCTGTTCTGACCGATATAGTTCAAAAATCTCAATATCAGCCTCAAACATCCAGTGTCTATCGAGCTATGGCAACACTGAAATACTCAGACTTTTACTGTGATGTTTTCTGCCCTTTTTCTAACAAACATTACTTGATATGAATATCTCTGGTGTTATTAAGGGCGAGCACCTGATTTAAATGTTCTCTCAGTGCTCGTCGATCGGGCAGCTCACCTTTTCTTCAGGCTGGTGTTGAGCTCCCCCGCGGTGCCTTTCAGCAGTGGCAGGACGGTGGTGAGCACACAGCAGCAGATGACCGTTTGCAGAGCTAATCTCATTTTGGCTGGGAGCTGTCAGAGGTGAAGATCAAGAGATTATGTTGAGGAGGTTATAGCTGTAAACTGCTGCCACACATGGTGATTGGTCAATCTGAGACAGGATTGGCTCTGTAGCTGCACAACAGAGTTGGTTAAGAGTCATAGTCTGTTTGTCAATCACAAATCAATATTAATGTATTTTTGCAGGTTATTTTAGAAACGTCTGTTTATCAGTACACCCAAAACCACTGACTAATAACTCCCTGTCCTTTTAAAGTCATATCCCAAATTTCAATTCAGTCAATTTACATTATTAAACACCTGAAGAACTCTTGAGCAGTCTCTTGAAAATAATCATAAACTTTGATTAAAATTGTGGAAAAAGTCACTTACCTCTGGCTTGGCCTTGTAACTTAATGTAGAGACTTTATGATGCACATCCACGTGTGCTATGTAACGTCTTTTTTTTTTTTTTAAAGTTGTTTTGTTTTCTACGGTTGTAAAGAGTTTACCATGAGTTGTAGTCTGAAGTTTACGCTGCTAACATGAGAGGCTTTATAGGAGGAGGGAGGGAGCTGTACCTGAATGCCAGAGCCAGTGGGAGGGACTGTGGGACAGTTCATGTCAACCCCATCCACCCCACATGTAGACACTCAAACCAAAAACATGCAGGGATTATAATCGAGTCAGCAAACCCTAATACTTACGAGTTTGTGTGAGCCTTGATTCTGATTCAGTGCACCGCTTCTCTGGGAGAAAGTGTTATTAAAAGAATTGGTTTTGTGCATTTCAGGGTTTTGTAAATTGACCAAATATAAAAAATATTTCCTCTCAGTTTATTTCTTGCTATGCAAATGGACTTATGTGCACCAAGGCCATTTGCATATTCTTTTGTCTTTTCTTTTAATATTTGTCTCGCAACTGGTTATTTTTGGAGTCATTTGTGTGTGTTCATCGGCCGTTCGTGCTTTAAGGCAGTTCAGTTGGGTGTAATTGTTGTTAATGGCTGAATCAATGCTAAAGGAGAAGTGTTGTTTGATGGCTCTATTTCAGTCTGAGTCAGCCATCTGTGATTTGTAAATGGCTACAAAATGTTAAGTGTGTTTAAATTAGCAGTGTGGTCGTGGCAACTATATGCACAGTGAGAGCTCATGAAGGGAACATGTGCTTTTTACTGAACTTGTGCACCTCAAAATGAGCAATTAAATCAATCTGAGTGCCACTCAGCCAGCGGTAGTTACTTCCAAGCATTATAAACAAGTGTGTTCAGTGTACAGATTAACACGCATTAATCCTTAACGTCTTCCTTGTTAGCTACAAGGATACGAGGAATTAAGAGGCATCAAAAGGGCTAAACGCTCCATATTTTATATTAATTCTTTTCATGTAAAGTTTAAAGATTACCCTACAAGACTGACATCACATTGTGCCCAACGTACCGCCAAACCTTTAATGATTTTAAAAATACATTTTTTTAATCGATCCTTCATTTGGCCTTGACTCAACCGAATTAACAGATTTACTGATGAAACACGAAGACAGTTGGCAAAACTGTCCAATCAATGAATCACCTCTCGGCCTGCATGACTCGATGAGCACAGCTCTTGGTTCATTGAACATAAACAGGAATTGAATTTAAAGACAATAATACAGCTTAATTCCTCTTGGTACAAAGGAATTGAACTACAGGTGTGACCGAATTTAAGAAATTGTTTGAACATTGCACAATTAGCATCCTCGTCTGTTAGAAGATTCAAAGCACTGGTAGTCCTTCACAGTTTGTTATAAATCTTGTGTTGACCTGCATTCAGCTGATGTAATCCGAGCCCACATTACACTGACTACCAGCCTCACAATCATCCTCCTCACCATGTCCGGAGGCTTCATTTCTACAAGCAGTTGTGCCGACGTCGGGTCTGTTTTGATATGACTTTATAAAACACAGTGGCACACAAAGCTTTGATGGCTCCATAGAAGCACATGAGTAATGCATTTGGATGCTTTGAATAGATAAACACAGTATCGTCATGGCAACACCACGGCCGAAAAAGATGATTCAGTGATGCGTGTTTTAACATGATCCTTTCCCCTTCTTCAATTACACGCAACGTGCTGCAGAGTTTCATTATTCCAAAACAGATGATCCAAATCTATCAAGCCATAGGTGGTCACTATGTGTCCATATCAGTAAGCCAAGATCTTTTTTGTTTTTTCTTCCTTTTGACTTGTTGCTTCATGAATAGCTCTTGTATTACATATAGAAGAAATGAAGACAGTATGGTGTTTGGTTAGAGGAGGGACGAAGCTGCGATTGATTTCCACAGTCAGGGGTCAGTGGAACATGATGTGAGCTCAATGTTGGCAGGCTCCCATCATGTGATAATATTAGATATTCACAGTCTATTTATAGCTGCGTATTTCATCCTGTGTTTTCATTACTACCGAGATGGAAACGCAGGAATTATAGCGGTTTTATTAACTCTGCTCTTCATGTGTCTGAAAGAGAACTCTCCCTGGAAACGCACCGTGTGATATGCAACACTCTAAATGTGAGGCCCAAACATTCCTCTTACCTCCTTCCCAAACAACGGAAAATAACAGTATGTGGGGTTTTTTTCCCTGGAAAAATACAGGATGAGATATTTACCAATTACAGGTGGAAAATCTGTATTTGCCCAAGGAGATGGCAATGTTCCACTTATTCATGACCGATGTGTTCGGAGAGAAATAACAGAACGATCTGAACTAGATAATGTTTACACACAATTTGCACTTTTAGCTGTATGAATGGTGCAATACAAATAAAGTATATTATTATTATTTCATACACATGTAGCACATGCCTAGACTATACAAGCCTACAGATGACATTGGAGTGTCAACTAGATTAAAATTCTCCAATTAAATACAAGAAAAAATCAAACATGGACTTTAAAGGGTGAAGTGGGTGTAACAAGCATACATGGCAGCTCTGATTGGCTCAGTTTGAAAATCTAGCCAGCAACACGACATAATTAACTGCTACATAATCTTCTACATTACATATTTAGTATTTTACAATCTTGGAACCAACCCATCGTTTATCAGTTTGATGCCACTGGTGACATGGGCCAATATTTCTGGGGTGCCGACGTAGCCGGCGGATTCCCTGGTGATGGATAACCGGGAGGTCCTAACATTCACATGTATTGAGAGACGTGAATGGATTTGGAGTTGAGAGACGACGTCTGGTTTGTGGACTGCCGTTTAAAGGCCTCGAGTTTGGTGTTTTGACTGTTGCCATTTTGGATTACGGCCGTCGCCATCTTGGCTTTTTGCAACCAGTGACCATGGAACAAGGAAGTGACCATATTTGGATTTGCAGAGGAGTGACTTAGAGATGCTGCATACAGCACTGGTAGCGATCTGTCAATCCCAACGTAGCCCCGCCCTAGAGCATACCCTGCTTTATGGTCTGTCTGACTCTAAATGGACCATAGTTTACTAAATGAACATCATGCTGTATTGAAGAAGACTTGAAACTAGAGATTGAGACCATAAACTCATGTTTACAATGTTTACTGAGGTAATAAATCAAGAGAGAAGTAGAGTAATTTTCTCATAGACTTCTATACAACCAGAGGAGTCGCCCCCTGATGGTCAGCAGAGAGAATGCAAGTTTAAGACACTTCCGCATTGGCTTCATTTTTCAGAACGGGAGGTCGCCGCCTGGTTGATAGTCAATATGGTTGTCAATAGAAATAAGTCCTGGAAACAACTTCAAGTTTACAAAATGATGAGGCTGTAACGTCGTCCGTCTGATGCATAAGGAAAAGTATCTTTGTACCAAAACTAGTACTGGCGTAAGAGCCAAAATACAGTGCCCCATTTTCTATAACTTTAATCAAAAATAGCTTTGAATAGATAATCGATTCTGAACCGAATCGCGACACCAAGAATTGAGATAGAATTGTGTGATTGACAAGGATTCAAACCCCTAACAGTTGATCATCTCGTTTTCCTCAAGATCTCATCTAAATATTGCTTTTCCTGCCCATTGAGAGCACAGCTTATGATTGTGAGTTTCAGATTTACACCGTGTGGGACCAGACGGTTCTGAGAAGTTTGCCATGGGAATTCCAGCACACAAACTCAGAGTGCGATCCCTGAGAGACTAGTCCATCAGGGCCTGATGAGGCTGGGCAGAACCTTTTGTCAGAATATAAACTAAATCTTGTCTAAAGTTATGTAGAGTACAGGTTTCTCTTCCAGCATTGTTGAACAGATCACGGTCTCGATGATTCCATCCATGACCCTATAGAACATGTGTGCGTTGGTTTTTATAATGTGGCAGATGATACTGACTCGATCTACTGTTAAAGTGATGAATTTGGGGATTTTTTAAGTTGGAGTGTGTGTGTTTTGGGTTCTGGGTTGTTCTTAATTGCTTGGCATTGACAATTACTTTCTGCCATTTGGCCGCTTAATGCCAGGTGTATGTGTCCTGTGGTACCTGGTGTGTCAGATCTCACAGCCTTTCATAGGTGAATCTCCACAAGACGACGTACAGTGTGCACATTTTGATGCTGTGTGAGAGCTGGCAGTTTTGAATTTGTGATCACTAAGTTCATTCAAGGCTAAAATGATTTGCTAGCAGCTCCATCGTAGCACGGTTTTCCATTATCAGGCAGTTAAAAATGTGAGTATCGTGTCAGAATATCAGTGGAGGTGGGGGGAGACATTTTGTTCCAAAACAATACAGATAGTTACTCGTGAAGGCCAGAAATCTGAACACACATTTAAGCCACAGATGTTGATCTTGTGTTTTGACCTTTTTGTAGCAGGCTTTAATACGTCTCACTTAAAAGCACTGTCAATATTTCCTAAAAAAGTGGCGTCAATGTGTTGCAATGGTGCTCCTCCTACGTGATTCATGAATGACACGGAAGTCAACACAGATGAGAAATGGTTCTGATTTCAGTGCTTTATACTGTAGCGGCAGTTTCATACCTTTTTACTTATACACCAGATGTTCAGATTGACGGATTAGAAATTCGTTGAACATTTCATCTTAAAAACTCAGCAGTTTCACCATTGTTGTTGTTGCTGTTGCTTTTTGCTGTTGCTGTTTTTAAAGAGTCACTGTAGCCAATGTCATGGCAATCCATCAAATATTTGTTGAGGTATTTTGGTAAAAGACAAAATTGTCAGTCCCATGGTGGTGCTAGAGTAAAGGTCAGAGAAACGCCAAAGTCTCCTCTGGAGACTATGATGTTCAAGGCAATCCATCCAAAAGTTGTTGCGATATTTATTTCTGGACCAAAGTGGTAGACCGATTGACCAGAACGATATCGCCATTTATTGAGCCTTGTTGCTAATTCAGCTAAAAAAATAATTAGCATTTGTTTTATCATTTCCTCGTGTTTCAGTGTTCTCAGCTCCACCTATCTGCTCATCACCCAATTATACGTATTGATATAGCTTGTCTTGTTCGACCAACACTTCAAGAATTAAGAAAGATCAGCATCTATAATCTATAATCTAA